AAGGAATAAAGCCTTTGCAAGTGTTTCTCTTCTTAACTGGTCCCTGTCATTGTGATTTAAGATCCTGTTTAAAGCAGCTTCACCTGAATCAAATAAAACATCAATAGTTATTCATTAAATGAATACTACTAGTAAATGATAATCATGTAACTTTCAAATGCTTGCATTTTTTAGTACTAATGTCATCAATGCACATATTCAGTGCCTGGCCAATTCATTTTTTTTTTAAATACGTACCAATTAACTTCAACCTATATAATTATGTTTTGACAATTTTACCTACTTAATTAATGCATTGCTTGATAAAAGATATTTACTGAGCTGTTTCTATTAGTGGTAAACTGGTAACTTAACTTTAATAATTAAGGTGCAACTTTTAAAGAGACTTATTTTGTTTTAAACCATGAATTTCTGTCAAAAACTATTCTAATTAGTTCAACTACAATTTCGTTTTTACCATGTCTGTTTTAGTCCTTTGCTTTGTTTCATGTAGATCAAACGTCTCTGGGGGGTGTACTGTGACCTTTAAGAACAAAATTCATATTCACTATAAAAGATATGAAAATAAATTATGACCTATTAATTAGAAGTTAAGTATAAATGTATTTAATATCATCTCTTCAAGACTGTATTCATAAATATAAAGCAGTTAACTGTCAATATTGTAGTATCTAATAAAATGCTTTCAGGTGACAAAATTTACATTTACAAATTATTTTCCAACTGGGTATAAATATAGAATGTAAAAATATTATTTTTTTTTCAGAATAAAGTTGAATAAAAATAATTGCTAGCAGACCTGAAATAATACTTGTTTTTTTGCATAAATGCATCCAAAGGTTATTACCTGATTTTTTTATGATTCTGGTTTTCATCTTCTTGTCCAAGGTTCAAATTTCATTTGCAACCAGCATATCCCATAATCCAGAAGTCATTTTCATTAACAAGACTGTAGCCTTGATTTTTTTCTTTGAAAAAGTTAAAGAATTTACACCCAAACATTTTATAACAAAATATTGCCTAGAAAATTGCTTATATCTCCACAATTTCTTAACTATCAATAAGATCCTTTGTGATACATGAGCACTATTTCCACAAATGCCTCAGATTTCAAAATTTTTACAACTGTAGAACTGGACTGATTTATCATGCATAATGTTAAACAGGGATATTCCACAAATCAAAGCACCCATCATTTTACTTTCACAATCATATAGACATATGAGAAAAAAGTGTAATGTAGAATTTCAAATTCATAATAAGTTTTTAAAGATAACCTTGCAATGTCCTTCTAAACAGACTTCATTTAAAATCTATAAAGTTGTTTCCCCCCAGAAAAAATCAAATGGAAGAGTCTGGATTGTAGCAGAATTTATGGTGGGAAAACAGGTGGTTAACCCAGCCAGCATGACCATATCGGGCCGATATAGGATTAATGTCGACATGTTGGCAAAATATGCCGACTATTGGCCGACGTCGGGCCGCTGCAGTGCCAACATATTGAGTGTTTTGAAAAATTCTAATTGCAATGGCATTGTTTACTTAATAATGTGAATAAATTGTCCTGTGTATGATTTCAATTACTAGAACCACATTAACCACATTTTCGTGTTACATCAAAAAAGATACATCGGGTCTGCGTCGGGCCTACATGACCTTTCAATGCAACTATTTTGTATATCGGATTGACATCGGTATGATATTGCGTTTTCTGTTGAATTGAAAATCATGCAGCAAATAATTGTACATTTTGATATGAATTTCTTAAATAATCATAGTTTAGTTTGGAAATGATATGTGGTATGTTTTTAAATTCAATATTTATGTTTTGACTACATAAAAATCACTCTTTTATTATATTTTAAATGAAAAGCTTGCAAATATTCACTGCAGTCCTAAAATTAACCGATTAAGCGCCAAAAACAAAAGCTAACAAAGGAAGGTGATGAAAAGCATGTTTTTTTTTTATTTTATTAATGTAATGATGATTCAACAAATCTGTTAACGCTGTTAATAATTAGAATTTTACACTTAAAATTATTGGAAAAACACAATTTATCTGTTTGTTTATTTTTAGATGTAAAAATTATGTTTGAAAATTTTTGTCATATGATTTCGCGACATGCATGTCATTTGCATATTTAAGTTAAAATGTATGTCTTTATTATCTTATGTTGTAAACTAATCATCGTATATTTTGTGTTTTTGCAGGTTATGCCGAATGCTTGCTGCTAGATGTCATCAACATGCTAGCATAAGGATGATACCTGGTCGATATAGGACCGATATCTTTTTGCTGTTGGCTGACATCGCACCGCTTTTGTTTGATGTAGGCCCGATGTCAAGAAATATCGGGCCTATATCGTTAAGATGTCGGCCTGATATTGTGCTGCCGATGTCGGGCCAACATCATTCCTATTTGCAGCCGAGGTTAAAGCCGACATCGGGCGTCATAGAAAACCATGTCGGTTTGATGTCGGGCCGATATAGAATGTTGGCTGGGTTACCATTATCAGACTGGTCAGTGCAAGGTGTAAAATCAGTCAGTTGTGTAAAATCATTGTAGAGTAGTAGAGGCAGTGTTTATTTATTTATCCTACTTAACAGGTCATTTATATTACAAACTAGATTGAAGAGCTTAATGTATAAGTTTATTTCATACACAATTAACTTTACAGAGTGAATAATAACTCATAATGTCTGCAAATTTGTAGTCTTGAATAAGAACATGTACCAGTTTGTTGTTGTTGTAGTTTTTGTTGTTGTTCTTTTTATACTTAAAAGAACAACAAGGACAGGCCTATGTGAACTATCTCATATATTTTAAAACTAAATAATCATATACAATGTACATGTATATTCAAATTTAGATAGCACTCTTAGTTCAAAGTTGCTTGCATTATGAATGTTAAAAATTAAATCCTAAGTGTAAATAATGTGCATGCAGTCTGTACAATTGCATCAAAGATATTAAAGTATTTAAATAACAAGAGTTTCTCTAAAAGAATTTCTAAGTGTGTATTGTACATCTGTATCATTGAAAATACAGCAGCTGTTGTTTTGGACTTAGATTATTTTCAGCACAAAATATCAGCTCAATATTTTCTAAGTATCAGAATTACATGTGTACATCTAAAACACAGGTCTTGTCTCAAAAATACACCTGTAAAATTGTTAAAATACACCTTTATTTCTTAGACAAAATGTCAAATTCAGCAAACACAGGTCCCTTAGACCTGTATTTTTACAAAAAACAGGTGTTTTTCAGTCGTCTTACAGTTGTAAAACAGGAGTTTTTTTCGTGCGGGTGTGATCATGTCATTAGTGTGAATGAATGTCATGATGAATGACCAAATTTACTTAAAATAAATTATAAGTGAAGCACAATAACTTAATCCAAACATCTTAACAGTATTAAATGAATAGACTGTTTTAAGAAAATTAAGACATTTATTTCCAAGTTAAACATAGAATAAATAAGATTAATTATGATAAACATGGATTGAATTCTTCACACTTTCACTTCTGTTCCTGATATAACTGTATAATGTATTCCATTTTCAGAAAATAATGATCCTGGCCTTATAATCCCAGACCTTCCTGTTGGAAGTGAGACAAACTGTAAGTACATATATATAAATGTAAATGTTGTAAACATGATGATAATACATTTATTATGATTTGTTTGGAAATTTCATTATTTTCAATGTTACAGTAATTATGAAGTTTCCAAATATCCTTAATTGACAAAGGCCAATTACTCAAAATGAGTTTAATATTTCCTCTTTCATTGGTCAAGCAGTCAATGTTTTCAGTCATGAATGCTATTATGTATATTGGACTTTATTATGGATGATAGTAGATTAGTGTTTATGTCTTTCTATGATTTAACATTATAATGTAACATAAACTAAGCTGTCATTTTCTATAATAGGTATCTAGGTAGATGTATACATATTTATATACATGTAAGGTATACAGTCATGAGCAGAAATATACAATTAGAAAAGTCACACAAATATTGTGAATTATGCAGCAATCCATAGACTCTACATAATTTTTACATACCAGAAGGTTACATATACTTTAGATTCACATTTATTATAGTTAGCATGTGCAGTTTATGGACATGTGACTTGTACTTTAAGTTATGTTATAACTAATACAGGCTTCTATTTTTAGCTTTGGGAAGAAAGGAAATTTTGCAGGATAAAGGATTTGAAGGTAAGAATAACATAACATAACTTAACTTTACATAATGTTTATTCAGGAATTTAACAAAGTATATAATGTCTTATCAATAATATATTTTGACATGTATTGTTGAAATTATTTATAGTCACACCATGTCACTTTTTATAAAAAATGATAGGATTGTTGCATTTGATTTAACTGAAGTTAAGTGTGCCAAAATAAACCAAAACTCAAAAAGTAAAGCTTTATTCAAGCTGGAAATAATTCAATAATACTCATGCACATTAAATTGTAGGTGATAATGAGCCAGTGCCAAAGAAGGCAAAATATGACAGTTAAGTATTATTATGTTATAGTATTACTCCAATTTTCTATTACTATTCAATTTATTAACTTACATGATTCAACATATAGTTGATTAGCGAACTGAGCGCCTTGAAAAGCATGCACTGGAGTAGAACCACAGATCACCCATAAGATATAGATACGTGTAGCTTCCACAAATGGAAAAAAAACAAAGTCTCTGTTGGGTTTCAAACACACAGCCATGTGGGGCAGGTGATTTGAAGACAACAACCTTAACAAACCCCATAACTTGACTTGAGGCATTATAAGTACATTGAAATACAGTACTTGCACATTGAATCAGAATATAAACTCTTTATATAATGCAGTGTGTTTTGGAAGTAATTTCTTGTAACTTAAATGCACTTTTTGCAAATTGACCTTATCTAAACTTGTTCCACTAAGCATGTACATGAAAATTGTACATACATCAATCTTTTAGACTGAGTTATTTTGATTTCATTTTTCAAAGAAAACAGAGGATGACATATATCAACTTGTTGAACAACAGCTAGACTGCAATTATGACAGAATTGAATTCAACATTAAAAACATTAAATCAGTCTTTCGATGGCATAAAAAAACGATTAGACAAACTTATTCAAAATTCTTACATGACACGTATGTTTCCCTTATGAACTCAGAAGAACCGAAATTGTGTGTTATAATGGTCATAAAATCAATGTTGACATTCTTAATTTAGACATTTTATGAAACCATTAAAAAATTTACGTGCTGAATATTAATATGGAAACTTTACAGGCACAAGTTAGCTTAATATCGGGTACTGCAGCATTTATTAGTTGACATGTGTTAGGATTGAAATAATATATCTCAATCAGGAAATTTAACCATTGATAAATTAAAATCAATGTTTGTCCTTCAGATGTGCAGCATTTTATCAACCGGGCTTTGTCCCCGTGATGTAATTTCTTATATCAGGACTCCAAAATAGTGATTTTATTTAGCACTAAAATCACAATTTAGGATATATTATTTTCTTAATCATTAATTTATAGTCATTGTAAATTTTCATTTAAACCCCCCCCCCTAAATGTTTTTGGTTCAATTTTTTTTTTAGGGAAACATTTGTATTTCTGTTTTTTTTAATTGTTTTAAACATTTTTGTTTTGAATAAAAATTGAGCTTTTGATGTTGAGGGGTTTTAAATTTTTTTTAAATTGGAATTTTTGGCCAAATTTATATTTTTAACATAATTGTGTAATATAGAATGATTTTTAAAAACTTAAAAAGAATCAAATGAAACTTTTTTATATGTTATTAAAAAAAATTTTGACAGTTATATTAATTTTAAAAGGTTTGTTTGTTATAATATAAAGGGGAGGGGTTTTTGCAAAAAAAATTCTTTTAAAAAGGATATAATTCAGGTTTTTTTGACAAAGTATAAAAACAAACATTTTTTTGGAAAAAAAAATATTCAATCATTTTAAAAAATCCTTATATTCCAAAGAAAAAAGATGTTACAAAATGTGCAGTATTTTAATTATTAATTTTTAACAGGCATTATAAGTTGTAAGACAACGGGATATTTCTGAAAGCTATATTTTTAGTAGTTATTTTTCACAATGATTCAATGAATAAATGTATTTTATGAAATCACAAATTAATATTCAACATATTAACTGAACAGCATTTACATGTATACTATAGTTTACTTATATTATTTAATATTAGTACTTAACCCCTTTAATGTTTATTATTCATTACAAATATAATTTTTTCTTATCAAATGTATCATTGACTCTGACAATAAGTTAACTAAGTGTGCTAATTTTGGTTTATGTGAAATACAAAGTAATTCTTTTAAGTAATACATGGGTGCTAATTAATTGAGATCAAAAAATAGATGTAATTGTTTTAATTGAGTGAAATGTTATATTTCAAGTGATCAGAACAAGTAATTATATTTTAATTTCTATGTCTTAAAAACAATTTTCAGAATAAATTAATTAATTCCTGTCTAATATTATTATTACTTCTGTCATCTCCATTTGGTAAATTATTATCATCATCATCATCCTGTGTGATGATCTCCACAGGCTCTTGTACTCCTCTAGTTTTACAAAAGTTATGTAGCCTCATACATGCTACCACAACTTGGCTGCTCTTTTCTGGTGAAAACGGTAGAACATCGCCACTTTTGTGTAGGCATCTGCAATAAAAACATAAATATATATGTTATTTGTTTCATGTGGTATGTCATTACTTCAGTGGCATGACATTTTCACAAAAATAGGGCCAGAAGTAGAGATCAAAGTTGGGACAGCATCATTTAAACATATTGTAAATTCATTGTCAATAAAGGTCATATAGTGAAACACATGATAAAATGGATCAATACAATAATTACTTTGAATGACTTGCAATATTTTACCTGAAACGTGACGAATCAGTATACCAAAGGCTTTTTCTACCACCATTCTGTCTCTGCTATGGTGTTTATTGAAGGCTTCCTCCTGTGGTGTTGTTGGATTAACCTTTGGGGTCAAGCGGTACCTCCTTAGAGGGTACCCACTATCCCCCAATAACAACCCATTGTTACTTTGTTCTAGATGTGTCTGAAAAATGACAGATTATAAGCACTTATTTTCAGATGACATAGTTTTTTTTAGAAAATTGACAAAAGCTAGATAGAATCAGAAAGAAAAAATATTTTTGTCCTTAATCATTTAGTATGAGGTTAGGTCAAGCATTATAATTAGAAGTCCATTAAGGGTAATGCAGCTTAATTCATGTCGTGAGAAATTTATTGTGAAAAATTTCACCTTTAACCCACAAGCATTGAAAATGGCCGCATCATGCTGTGAACCAGGCCACCTTGAAACAACATCTGTGAATCTACAAGAAGTATATTTATTTGATAAGTAAATCTACAACAGATACATCAATTTGATACATTAATCTACAGGAAATATATTGATTTAATAAATTTATCTGAAGTTGTACCTTTTTTTTAATAAATTGCCAGTAGTATGCTTCCCTTTTTTCTCCTACATTGTAATGTTATAAAAGTGTATGTTAAGTTCATCTTCATTATACTGATTTAAACAGTTATCAAATGAAAATAAGTTCCTTCTGGGACACTTCTTGGATTTAGAAACTAAATTAGATTCTTTTTTATAATTTTTTTTGTAATTTAACACAGGACTGGAATGTTTGACATAAAATAGTGTACCTCATTTCAGCATCGACTACAGCCTGAACATTAAGAGCATGGAACCCTTTTCTGCCAGACATAAGCTGCCTCATCCTGTGATGGACCTTGAATAGGGATGACTGGTTCCATCTTCCTGCTCCTACAAAAAAAGAAGCTGAATTGATATTTCTTAGTAAGGATTGGTATACAAAAAGTGCCACTTGTGTCTGTTTAGAAATGATATCAAATGATTTTAAACATAAAACAATGTAACAAGCATATCCAAAAGCATAATTATTATATTTTAAATTGCTTTAATATATATGTTTATATGAAACTATTAATGTTTAGTAATTAATGATCAATTACCGATTACGTTTGGGATTCTACATTTCTCATAGAATTTCCTCTTCAAATGTTGTAAATCTTGACCTCTCAGTTGGAAATCTGAAATAAAAGTATAAGTGGTATTTAATTATAGACGTTAAATGAAAAGAGTATAATTTATGTACTGATTAAAGAAGTGGTAGGAATTGGGTTTTCCTTTGCTATATGAAACCCTATAAAAGTGCTACCATTATTATCTAATATTTAAAACATTATGAACAAGTTAGAGCCATAAGACAGTGAACACCAACTATTATTAAAACAAAAAAAGCTGGCATAATGCATTTTTTTTCCAAGTTCAGAAAGGACCCTGATTATATTAGACAAAACCTATGTAAGTACACCGGTAAATTGTGCACCACATGTTAAACGTATGTGACGCACATGTTTTACATATGTTTTTTCCAAGAAAAGTACCCCATATGTTTTACATATGGTGCAAACACATGTTTATTTATATGGATACACATGAATAACACATGTTTTTCATATGGTGGGCCAAGAAAAGGCCACTGTTTGTTACATTTATGGTATAGAAAAAAATTATGATTTTCATTACAAATGGGAAATTATGTTCCAGAGTTGGGTTTGCTGGAACTCGATAATTTATACAAGTGTTAAGTGTTCAGTATCACACGTAAGTAAAACTATATATATATATATGTATATAATTATGCTTATAAAACAATTTTCAAACATTGATGAATATGTAAAGTATGTACTTCAAATATTTGTCCATACAATATGTAATTATTAAAATATATGCATTCATTTCTTATTGAAAAATTTGACTCAGACTTTATAGAAAGTAATCTTTTTATTACCTCCCTTTATTTACATGAAATATTTTTTTTTATAAGGAACTTACAAAATTGATAAATCTTAATTTGAGCATCATATTTATGATATGATGGTAACTCCCTATGGGTCACTACCTTTTGGCTTCTTGATTGTTAGAATTTCACTAAATAAACACTAACATATACAAAGGGAGAAAAAAATCATGAATAAAAATGAATGGCACACTATACTTCCCAGAACCATAAGTTGCACATAGATGCATGAACAAAGTATCTTTTAAGAATTTATGTACAATCATTTAGAATCTAATAGAGACTGTAAAAAGTGTAAAGTTTGCAGAATATATAATACATAGATTTATCATATGAAAAACACACGAAAGTTCACATATATTAACATAATTATGAAAACTTATTCATATGAAAAACATGTGATAACCATGAGTTTAACATATGCTTGTTGACACATGTTTTTCATATGGTCCTGTTTACATATATGAAATATGAAAAACAAGATCAACAAGGAAAGGCGGCGTTCAATGAACGCAACCCCCATATGACCCAGCAACAAGAACCAATGGCAAGGAGCCCAGGCGGACCCCAAACATAAAAAGGACAGGGCAACGACACGTTAATCATTAAATGATAAATAATTTGTAACTGAAGGAATTCAAAGAAAATAATAATAGGCCCACAAAGGGGAAGGGGACAGGAGACCGGGGGAAGGGGGGGGGTTAATCAAAGAAATAAAAACTAGAGGCAATGGGGAAGATACTTACCGTAGACGAGAAAACAACAAGGGACACAAGCAAAAGTGTCACCAAAACAGTATGAAACAACATAGACATACATCTGAGGAACACAGTGGGGCGCCGCCTTGGAACGGTCAGCAGCATAATAATGACTACTGGGGAGTTTAAACCGGTTAATGGTGCACCAAACCTCGCTCTTAGCCCCACCATGTTCCTATAAACGAGACAGTGTAAATAAAATGAATCCCCGCCAAGTGAAATTCTAACAGTTGTCATGGTTACAAAAGGTTAAATAAGTAAAACACTAAAATGATCATGTAGAAACATATAAAAGTGAACCCAATGACCATAACAAAAGTACTCAATGTCCTAAAGGAAGACAGAGCAACAAGAAAATCACCTACAAGGGCCCGACGAAGCAAGGCAGAAGACGAACATTAAGACAATTCAGTCCCAAAGGGCTTTACGAACTATCCATCATAGAGTCTCCCACTTGGTCCGTCAGATGCAATCAAAAGAGGAAAGCGTAGTGTCCAACTGTAAAGGGTTGAACACTAAACATGCAGTATGTCTTAAAATAGTAGGGTCATAACCTCTTTTAATAAAACGTTTAATAATTTTAGTAAAAACAGCAGAAAAATTACCATGACCCAAAATCTTACGAAGTTTGTAAACCACATCGCCATAAAAACCAGGCTGGCTAATCCCTTGTCGCAGAAGAGTTTTTAAATCACTATTGAATTTAGAAATTAAATCAAAGTTACGATTGTAAAATTTAGTAAAATATTTCCGTAATTTATGATAGCGGTAGCCCTGTTTTAGAAGCTTGCTGGTAATAAAAATATTCCGCTCGTTGAAATCCTTTACGTTGTTACAAGCTCTAGCGAATCTAATTAACTGAGAAACATAAACCCCGTAGGATGTTGCATGGGGTACGTCTCCATCCAAATGTGGAAAATTAACTATACAAAAGTCAAAGTCATCTCTTTTATCATAAATTTTTCGTGTGAATAGAATTGTTGTTGATAGTAATATGAAGATCCAAAAATGATGTACTAAAATTTCAAGAGTTCGTTTTATTAAGTTGTAGTTCATGCGGATAAATGTCAGACACCATTTGATCAAAATAAGGATTATCTAAATTAAAAATATCATCAAGGTATCTGGAAGTATTATTAAATGCGACTATAACATCTTGTTGTTTCTCTTCAGAGAGACTCAACATAAAGTCTCTTTCATAGCAGTACAAAAACAAATCGGCGACCAGGGGTGCACAATTAGTACCCATAGGAATTCCTATGATCTGTTTAAATAGGGTATTACCAAACCTGACATAAATGTTGTCTAAAAGAAAAGAGAGTGCTCTACAAACTTCGTCACAGGTCCACATAGTATAATGTTTAACAATACCGTTAGTAAAAAAAGCTTTGTTCGAATTACATGCTAGAAAGGTAACTTTTTCCCGTGCAAAAGTTTTTTGAATTAGGGAAATTAGTTTATCATTGATTAATTTATGTGGCAAAGTTGTATAAAGTGTAGAAAAATCGTATGTACTGACAGTTGAAGCTTGAAAGTTATTAATTTTGAATCTATCCAAGATTTCACCAGAATTTTTAATTGACCAAAAGAGATGTTTGCCTGTGTTTTCATAGACTTTATCACAATATCTAATTACATGTGTTTTAATGGCAGTCAAACAAGACGTCAATAAAATAGAAAGTTTACTTGTAGTGCAAGATGTAGAATTAGCAATAAATCTGGCTTTGTAAGGTTTTTTATGTAATTTAGGAATCCAATACATAATAGGAAGTTTGAGTTCTTTTTCATTAATTTGGACTTTAAGATTGGAAATATTAGTAATATGATTGTTTACAATGTCTTTTTCGGAGGCAGAGGTTTTAGAATACGCATTAGTGCTATTTAGTTCCTTATGCAAAACGTTAATGTAATGGATTCGTCAAACAATTATAATATTATTAGCCGCCTTGTCCGCTGGCACCAAAACAAATTTTGAATGAAAAGCTAGAATATCTTTTTCAGATGTCTTAAAGTAAGTCTTGGTTTAGGTTGCAAAAGATGTTCATTTCCACGATAAAAATTAATACGTGAATCAATCATTTTAAAGATGTTACGTTTCCATGTAACTAGAGCATTACTATCCGCATTTTCACGGCGACACCATTTGACCGAAAAATCCTCTATAGATTCAGCAATCTGACCACGACAAGCATTAAAATCAATCTCAGAAGGAATTCTGTATTTAGGTCCTTTCAAGAATAAGTTACGAATTCTTTTGTCTGCAATTATATCAAAATTACCAGTGATTATATGGCCAAAATCTGAATTACAGAATTTAGAAGTATTGCAGTCTCAAGTTGTTGGAGTATTAGACTGAATATCTAAGTCAGAAACCACTTTGTTGTAATTAAATATGATATTTCTAACAGGTTTCTTATATTTATAGCAAATAATAGGTATCTCGGAGTTTTTGAAGTATAAAGGAACTGAATTAGTGACACGTTTATCACGAAAAATACTTGGTAAATCGATGAAATCGATACCTTTATTAAGAAAGGTTACTTTTAGGAAATGCCTGTTGTGGTCAGAAGTGTTGTCGATATGAGGTCTTAAGACGTGCTGAGTATAACTTTGAATAAGATAAGCTGCTGTATATAAAGGATCTGTTTGAATAACTATATTATCTGCCTCCGCGTCTAAGATTTTCAGAGATGATAATGAAAGGGAAGTAAGACGAAAAAACACATGTTTTTAAACACATGTTTTTCAAAACACATGAAACACATATGTTTTACATATGGGGTAACAAACATACAGCAAACATGTGGTGCATATTTACCTGTGTTATACGCTGATTAAAACTATCAAATTTAGGTGTATCATGTCAAAAAAATTAGTGTCTTTTATCCGGTAATTGTTTTCCCACAACGTTCTACTCGCACGCGAGCCGTTGCTATGGGTTTATGTAGACAAAGAAATAATCACTATACAGTAGTATTTATTTTTTACCTTCGTCAAGCTGCTAACAGCAAGAGACCGACCTGTCAAAGGTGAAAGGTCTTGTCGGCAAATACTTTCAAGCTCGTAAATGGCAGCTTTATCACGCCGATAGCGGGCCACAACTTCCTGATCACTCAGGCAATCCAAATGCACCATTCGCTGCTTAAAAGTCCGGCTTTTCCTTCGGCGTTGTCGATTCAGAAGAAGTACGGCGGCCATTTTGTTTGATCTGCGACTGCTACTTAGCAATCGTAGAAAAAATGCATGATCTTACGATAATCGTAAGATTAAGGAAATCTGCGACGTTTGATAAGACACCGCCAAAATCGTACGATCGTACGATAAAAACGGCCGTACGATCGTTGATAAGACGGGCCCCAGGAGCGTAAACTACAACACCCACCCACCATACGGATACTTAATATATAAATGAATAATATCATACCTGGACAGACGTTACTTTTTTCCGTATCACCTTCTACAGCAGTTATTAATTGAACTGTTATTATGAGACAAATATATTTTATGTTCTTAGCTGTGATATCCATTTTAAACCTCTTACAACGGTGTTCCGTTATGGCCATCGCAATACACGCAAAACTCGAAAACACAAAATTACGTACGATAGTAAAAAGTCGAAGGTACGATGATGAAAAGTCAAAAGTACATTAGTGAAAAATTGAAATAGGGAAACCACGATGGTGAAAACTCCATATAATTTCGTGTTTTCACCATCATACTTAAGACCTTTAAATTTATCACCATCGTTTATTTTCGTTATTTCGCATTTCACCAACCTCATGATGCCCCGTTAGGACAATCACGTCACACACATAACTCGAAAATGAAAATTATATTGAGTATTCACCATCGTCTTTTCGTTATTTATACATTTTACCATCGTACTGCCGACTTTTCAAAATCGTACCTTCGACTTTTTATCATCGTCGTTACGTTTAAATTTCGAATTTTCAACATCATAATTTCGTGTTTACTTGTTTCGAGTTATACAAATGTGTCCCGATGGCCCTAACAGGACAACGTACCAAAGCCATTCACATTGATATTTCTTTATTAAATCATTCCGGATTTTTTTTTCGTCATCCATGTTATTACTTTTGTCACAGGGTGAGAAAAATGTGCTGCCTGACCGGGACTCGAACCCGGAACCCTCGGAATACCGTTCCGCGGCTGTACCGACTGAGCTATCCGGCCGCTTACACATCTTCTCCCCTAAATAGTGGACAGTTCTGAACCGTGACACTTGTATCTCTGTGTGCATGCCAGATAGGAAGGTAAAAGTATGATTGTGAAAAGTCGAAAGTACGAAGGTAAAAAGTCGAAACAACGACGGTGTAAAGTCTGAGTAACGAAACCAATAAATTTAACCATAATAAATTCGAAAGTACGATACTGCGATAGGGAAAATTCGAAATTACGAAAGCACGATGGTGAAAGTCGAAAGTACGATGGTGTAAACTCGAATGTTAATCGGGCTTTTACCATTGTGGTTGCGTTATTTTGGCTATTCACCATCGTACTTCCGATTTACGTTATCGTGTTTTCGACCTTTTACCATAGTGGTTTTGTTAATTCGACTTTTCGACATCGTAAAATTTTCATATTTTCGTTGTTTCGATTTATGTGTGCCGCAATGGCCCTAACGGAACACCATATCTTGCAGTATTGATTTATCAAAATGTTTTTGAAAAACCAGTTTAATCTATTATAAAACGAAACTAGATATTTATTTTCTATTGACGAGGTTATAATTAGGGAGGGTATTGGAGAAAAAACACAACATAATTTAGAAAAACTTTTCAATTATAAATAATCGGTTACAAACATTTTGAATTGACCGGATTAAAGCATGGCATTTAAAAGTATTTTTACGGCTTTGATCTCACTTCAAATTCTCACTGCGGCCGTAGGAGCAGTCCGAGAAGAAGAGGAAACAAATCATTGTCCTAGTGAGTACTAAATGTTTCTTCATAACGGGGACTTTGGCTAGAATTCCATGTGACTTTGATTTGATCCATATGTTTTTCAAATGATTCTTATATTTTAATGAACCATTTGCGGTTGTATTAAACACTGTTGTACAGCGTCCACCGGATATAGCCCCTAAAAACACCGAAAACGAAAGTAGAAAGCTGCACACCAAGTACACCCAAGGTAATGTTTTAACCTATTTCTTCATCATAACTTCATCGATTTTTCCAAACTTAACACTATTGTGAAGTTAAATATGTCTAGTTTTAGAGCAGTGTTTGCTTTTGTCTGCAAATTGAATACTTTTTGTTAAATTGGTGATAAATTGTAGCGTATTTGTTGATATTTGCGAACGATGTTGATATTTACCACTAAATCAAGCCCAACACGCATTTCCACCGTTAATACAAACAATAGCCATCCCTCTTCTTATATTTGAGTTTTCACCATTCGACTCGAGCTGCTTTTAACAAAATTTGCGAAAAACGACCTTGTCTTGTGTACAGAGTCTAGCACGGATGTGTACGGGGTGTAGATGGAAAACTGTTAGCGGAGTTAGTTAACGAATGTCATTTTTTTGCAAAATAAATTCAGTACCAGAGCATATGATGAATATGTCAGGAGGAAGGATAGTGAAGTGAATGATTCTAATTTTATAAAGGATTAAATTATAAACATGTTACGCTCCATGTATATTAATTGCAGTAAACAGTTTCCGTCCTGCTAGACCACTTTTTTATGCGAAACTATAAATTAATTGGAAAAATAAAAAAAATAAAAAGACCACAATTTCATTTCATATTGGTAAAAGTAAAACATATATAGTACAGCAAAATAATTCGTATAACCATGTTCGAGTTATGCATTGTGAACTAAACTTGATCTAAACTTGTTATATTGGTTTATTAGTTTACCGGTCTTAAGACTTCATTGAAAAACAAAAATATGTTAATAGCTTTGGTAAAATATCAGCCTTGATTAGTTAGGTTAATCATCTGATATATCTTTTGGGGAAATACTATATTACTGGCTATAAAATCTTTCATAATATTTTGCAGTCAAACTCGAGTGGCCTCACTTGTGATTTCGATATTGTTTTATATAAATAATGCTGCCGCTTATGCTGCTGCTTTTTCTGAAAATGATTATGATGACTCTTCAATGATGATGATGACGATGATGATGATGATAATGATGGTATTTTATGTTTTAGTTCAACAATGCCATACCAATGTACAGAATGTGCAGATATATAATTATGAAACATTTAAAGTATTCGGCATATTATAGAATATCATTCCAATTCGACATAGAGACTTAGATGGACAAAGTGTTCAAATCACTACAAACTACAAAGTGACCGCGGAGTTATGTACAGAACAATGTCGAACAATAGCTATTGATGACAAAAAAATCACATTCTAAAAGGAACAATGTACCAAAGGATAGTACACTCAAGAAAATAATAAAATTTGGCAATCTTAGTGAAAATGAATTCTGTGCATCTGATTTTTCTTCCACAAATGCTGACATTGGACTTATCTCAAGAAGATGACACATTTGCAGAGTTAGTACAGATTCTACCAGCTGTGATTCATTCATTGACTAGAAGAATATGTACAATACAACAAATTGTAGCAGAGAAACGGTATCTTCTAAGTCGACTTATAGCTTATATAAGGCGGCTTGAACTGTTTTGTAAAAGACAGTGCTAATACCGTTTTGTAGAAAATGACACTCATGCATAATCTTTTAAGGATCGACCTCCTGCCTTATGTGTAGGTTAGTTATACATGTATACATATAAATATGTCCCCATTCAGACCATTTCCATTCAGCGAGTTGGTCAAAAGACTCCTCAACATGTCTTATAAATACCGAAAGACACTATTCAGTAAGGTGTGACAATAAAAAATTAAACGTAGTCATACGTTTTAGCTCAAAAACACTAAAAAGTTAAATTATTTACCAAATAATTCTGTATAGTCCTCTAATTTATCCATGTTCAGTCTGAAATGAGATTATTTCCATTTAAAAATAATATAAAAGACTATATTTTAAAAATATGTGACTGCTAGACACCGTACACATCTACTAAACCCTGTACATTAAACTACTACACCCCGTTCACTTGAATTTGTTTTCTTTGCTAGACTCTGTACATAAGGCAAGGTCGTTTTTTTTGCAAATTTTGTTAAAAGCAGATCGAGTTGAAGGGTGAAAACTCAAATATAAGTAGAGGGATGACAATAGTTTGTATTAACGGTGGAATTCGATACAGCAAATGCGTTTTGGGCTTGATTTAGTGGCAAATATCAACATCGTTCGCAAATATCAACAAATGCGCTACATTTTATCGCCAAGTTAACAAAAAGTTTTCAATTTGCAGACAAAAGCAAATATTGCTTTAAAACTAGAAACAATTAGCTTCACAAAATTGTTTAGTTTGGAAAAATCGATTAGGGGCTATATCCGGTGGACGCTGTACAACAGTGTTAAAAGTCTCACCGAATCTTTGAAATTCATAATGGCGACTTTCCAGAAATATTGTTGGAGGAATAATTTATACGCCCCGGCGCCTTGCATTCTTTAGGTTAAAACGATAACCTGTATTGAACAACCAAATTTCTGTTAGCTGACTAAATAGCTTCATCACATGAAACAACCCAATTCCCCTGTCGGGAATCGAACCCCGGGGATTTGAACTCCTCCCCAAATATTCTCACAAATATAGAAAACTCAATTGGATTGGCTAAAGATACTAATATAGATATTATTGTTACAGGTGACTTTAACCTTAATACACAGAAATTCTCATCTAAACAGAAGATTGATAACATTTGCATGGAGAACGGCCTTTCTCAGCTGATAACTAAACCAACTAACTTTATCGAATCATCAAGTTCTATCCTAGATCTGAATCTGTTGCTTTTTGTGGTGTTGGTGAACCCTTCCTAGATCAAAACATACGATACCACTGTCCTATTTTCTGTTGCTTTAAGTATACTAAAAATAAGTTTAATACTTTTAAAAGGATAATATGGCAATTCGATAAGGGTGATTATAATAATCTTAGACAAAAAGTATCAACCTTCGAAAACATAACGATGTCAATCAATATGCACTTAATATTACACCGAAACTATATACACTTACTCAAGAAACAATTCCTAACAAAACAGTTACAATCAGACAAACAGATCCACCCTGGATGCACAATGAAATAAGAAAATACATCAGAAAGCGCAAAAGAGCATACGATAGAGCTAAAAAGTCAAACAATACACATCATTGGGTTATTTATAAGCAGTTAAGAAACAAAACAACACAACTTATTAGAAATGCACGCACCAGTCACACAAGCAAACTTGCCGAAAGGTTAAAATCAAACAACCTGACATCATCAGATTACTGGAAAATATTAAAACAATTCATCAAACCAAATACACAAAAAAGCAACATACCAACTATCACTGACAACGACAAAACATACACAACAAACATTGAAAAAGCCAATGCCTTTAATAACTTTTTTCAATCACAAACTGAACTTGCTGATAACAAGAAACAACTTCCATAAATAACTCAAATTGTTCATAACCACTTAAAAAACATAAATATTACACTACTACAAGTCGCATCAATACTTAAATCACTATGCGTAGGAAAAGCGGTAGGTCGAGACCTCATAAACAATAAACTCTCAAGAACTTGCTGAACCACTTTGCTGCCTATTTAATCATTCTTTACAATCTGGTAAAGTTCCTTCACAGTGGAAATTACCCCATGTATGTGCTGTGTATAAAAAAGGAGATCCTCAAAATATTTCGAATTATAGACCAATTTCACTTCTTAGCACTCTTAATAAAGTAAATGAAAAAATGATTCACAAACATGTTTACAACTTCTTTCCTGATAACAACACTATTACTTCACTTCAGTCTGGATTTGTTGCAAAAGATTCTACTGTAAATCAACTCACTTCAATTTATCATACTTTCTGTCAAGCTCTTGATGAAGGCAAAGAAGATAGAGCGGTATTTTGTGATATTTCAAAAGCTTTTGATCGGGTCTGGCTCAAAGGTCTAATACATAAATTGTCTTTAACAGGTATATCTGGTAAACTTCTTGAATAGTTCAAAGACTATAAATTTATCTGATCGACAACAACGAGTTGTACTTTTTGGATCTACTTCAGACTTAATTAATATCAACGCTGGTGTTCCTCAAGGCTCAATATTGGGACCTCTTCTGTTAATTGTCTATATCAATAACATTGTCTTGGGCATACAATCAATTATTAGACTGTTTGCTGATGACACATCTCTCTACATGCTCTATCTTATCGTTGAAAACCCTATAACCACTGCTGAAATCATGAACTCAGACCTTAACAAAATAAGTAATTGGGCAGATACTTGGCTTGTCAAGCTCAATCTGAGCAAAAAAGAATCAATTCTTATAACTAAAAAACATCGATCACATAATCATCCACCTCTTTTTATGAATAATATTCAAATCTCGAAAGTAGAATCCCATAAACATCTTGGAGTTACGTTATCCAGCAACGAGTCCTGCTATGAACATATTTCTAAAGCTTGGCAAAGAATCAATATCATGCGAAAACTTAAATTAACCCTAGACAGAAAGTCCCTAGAAACTATTTACTTCTCCTTTATTAGGCCAATATTAGAGTATGCAGACGTCGTATGGGACAATTTGACACAAAAAGAGGAATATGAATTGGAACAGATACAGTTGGAAGCAGCTCGAATAATAACTGGAGCCACCAAATTAGTCTCACTATCAAATCTGTACAGTAAACTGGTCTTTAAACTCTTAAATCTAGAAGGCTTAAATACAAATTAATAATGTACTGCAAAATGACAAACTTCCTGGTGCCACCATATTTATCTTCTCTAGTCCCTGAATCTGTTGATGATGTCACTCCTTATAATCTTAGAAATGGTCATAATACCAGAAACATACATTGTAATACTCAATTCTTCTCCAAATCTTTTCTTCATTCTACGATCAGTGAGTGGAACCAACTACCTGTGGAAGTCAGAAATTCAGAAAGCATCGGCATATTTAAGAAAAAACTAAATTCTACACTTTCTAAAGTACCTACATACTATTACCACGTAAGTCCCAAATCTTACACACACGACTCAGAACCCATTGCAGCATTCTAAAGGAAGATCTCTTTTCTAAAAACATAATTGATGACCCCTTCTGTCAGTGCGATGAGATTGAAGATTCATGTCACTTCTTTTTTAATTGTAATCAATTTTCCCGCCAGAGGACCATTCTCAAGGAACAGCTTCAACAAATAACAACAGTTACATTGTCAACTATACTGTATGGCGACAGAGGTCTGAGCGATGAAACACAGCGGTTTTGTCTTGCCTAACTCCTTATATAATTCATAAACAATATAAATGGTGTACTTACGAACGTTTATAAATCACGTGCTTTCATAATTCAACATTCTCTCAATTTCATCCTTTACTATATTATCATGATTTATACTTTGTCTCTTATGTAACAATAATAATAATAGGGCTAATATCCAGGATGTAATAATAATGAAAGTATCAAGAGCTTTTGAATGTCGCAAAATTCAGTTACTCAGCAAAGAATATTTCAAGTTTACGCATTGTATTTGTATGTGGAAATCGCTGATTTTATTTTGTATTTTTATGTATCAGTATAATTATAGTATACTATCATAATTCTATTATTGTGAATACTTTTGTTCAGAAATATAATAGAAGAATCATCTAAGTTGAAAACTGTTAATAAACTGTAACAGTGTACTTATTGTCCGGCCGTCTGTCTGTCCATGTGACCGCTTACAGTCCGATTCTTCATTTTGATATTCATTGATAGATTATGAAATAAGTTTGCATAAACGTGAAACACATTGGGGCAATGTGTTAATTGTAAGGTCAAAAGTTACACTAGGACTTGAAAGGATATATTTTTATAAGAGTGCCTTCATGGTAGTATCCTGTCAGTTAGATGAATAACTTGTCTTAAATAAAATAATAAAGTCACTTGCTCTACGTCCTTATATGTTTTGTTTTTTTTTCCATAATATAAATGCATTGATTGTCATATGTCTTTCGTTCATGGATACATTTTAAAATAACTATTTATCACATACCCGTACCTGTATTGCAAGGCCGTGCATAAATGCTGACTAGACCTTTTACCGAGAACAGCTATTTTTTTATATGTGATAAATAGAATATTAAATTTTTGTAGCTGCATTACAAAATTTATTGAACTCGTTGAATAAAATTATATCATGCTCACCAGAGGCTTTAGATACTCGTTCAATAAATTCAGTGTGTATCCTCTATATTTGCTTGACTTCGTGACACATTAAGAAGTCTTGGCACTCATAAATGCCTGGACAGCAGGTAGAAAGGAGAAAAAGTAATACTAATACTTCTGCCAAGTTTGCGACTGGTCATATGTTTCACTTTTGTTTTATTTATACTAATCAGAACTTTGTTATTTTATGGTTCCAACTTCGGGGGATTTTGTCTGTTTCCAGCGACAATTCCAGTTACCATAACTAGAGTAACTTCGCTCGTTGTTTACTTTAGTCCAATCGCTATTTGACATTTTTGTACGTTAAAAGGTAATATCCATTAAACAAAGAATGTAAGTATGTCCATTATAAGTTATGACACATTGTTAAATTGTTCAAAAGAACATATGAATTTTAACAAACGAAATATGCCCAATATCATTCAAGACCAGGGAAAAGCTGAGAACGGTGGATGGCGCTTGAATACAAAAGATGATTTCAAAAGATGCATTCTTGACTGCAAGGAAGGGTACAGTCCAAGTGGATGTCATGTTATCAGGAAAGATAGATATGGAGATTGGAATCACAATATCTCATCATGTGTTGAAGGTTAGTTCTCAATGTTTAATAATTACATCATCGAAAATCATCTTATTGTATAATTGTCATTTAATATTTACCTGCTTTCGATTTGACATTTGATAACAAGTTATTTTAATTATCTTTAATTATCATAAATGTATGACTAAGTACTAGTATATGTATAAAGTTTACCGATGATTATGATAGCCGTTAAGCAATTCAAATAAATCTTAACTCCGTCTACCTATGCGATTTGATTATTGATAATCTTAACTCATTTTACGATTTGATTATTGGAAATTATATGCACATCTTTATGTATTACAGCCGAATGGTTCAATAAGAAAAAAGTGGCATGTTACACAGCGATCGTTGCAGCTATAGCCGCATCTCCTTACCTTCTAAGTATTCTAGGATTTAAAGCTGTTGGAATAGCAGGTGGTTCACTTGCAGCCAAATGGATGGCATATATTGTATGTATGTCTGAATGTTTCATCCGTAACTAAGTATGCGCTCAATCCATTAAAGTTTTTTCACATTGTTTTATGTTGAAATGGCGCATACTACATTTGGTTATTTATAAGCAGTTATATATCAATCGCATCTTTACTAGAAGCAAATTAGCTTAGATCGGCAAAAGTAAATTTTTCAAAATTATCCAAAAGTTCATCAATGGGCTGACAAAATAACTCTGAAGTTGTCCGTATTCCGATACAATAAGTTAGTTTAAAGCAAAATCTTAATACGCCATTGTCCACTATTAATGTTTCGTTCACGACCTTAAATTTGATTACTATCCTTGTTCAGCAGTCATGATTAAATCTCATATAAAAACGGAAAGTACATTTGTACAAAGGTATATTTCACAAAGATTAAGTACGAAATGGGTTTTGAAAAGTCACTCGTAAATTCTTATTACAGTGTCGATTTATTAAAATTAACAGCTCTGTTATCAAAGTTGTTAGTAAAATTACAAAAAGAAGGCATTTCTGAATTTTGATGAATAATTGTGATTTTTTTTCTCATGGAATTGTTTGTAAAGGTACTTTTTATCGATTTTAAACTTACACCATGTTCCAGGTAATCCAGTGGTAAATATTTTTCCATGCAGCTCTTTTCCTCATACACTAGCAGAAATTGTGACTCCTATATTTATCAAAATTATACATGTACAGCAAAAGTCTGCAAGCAAAACGAGAATAGGAAGAGCTTAAATAGAAAGTTATATATCAATGGAATCAGCAAATATATACATATTACATGGTATGACTTTATTATTTTGATATTAGAGGATATAAAGGAAATTAGAAAAACCCATTAGCAGTGACACACACTGTTATCGTATACAAGTGTCACGTGATCACCCAAGATAATCGTTCCAAACAGAATAATAATGAAGTTAATAGAATACATGACAAATGTATTATGCTCCTTAATTATATAATTGCAATTTGTAAACATATGACCCGCGTCATGACAAAACCAACATAATGGGTTTGCGACCAGCATGGATCCAGACCAGCCTGAGCATCCGCGCAGTCTGATCAGGATCCATGCTGTTTGCTATCAGCTTCTCTACTTGTAATAGAGTTGGTGGATCCTGATCAGACTGCGCGGATGCGCAGGCTGGTCTGGTTCCATGCTGGTCACAAACGCACTATGTTGGTTTTGTCGTGACGCGGCTCAATTATTGCTTTTCAGGGCATTGTTTCTCAGGGTAGTTCATTTGCGTTGCTTCAAAGTGTTGGTATGGCTGGTATAAGTAAAGCGGCGATTCTAAAGGCCTTAGGTTCTGGTGCAGCTGTTTGTGATGGTGTCATATACATATTATCAGACAATCCTTGTGAAACAGAATGAAACTTTACCGGTATATTGTAATTTGGCGAAGGCCATGTGATTTGTTGATAAAATCTTTAGATTTTGTTGCTTAAAAAAAGAAACAAACAAACAAACTGTCATACACTTTTTTTAAAATTTATTTTGTAATGTTCAACAATATATTTATCGAAACGGCAATTTAAACATGTATCTAGAAGATAACAATGTACATGATAATCTTATCTTTCTAGTGGTGATTCGATAACAGTGTTGTAAATATTTTCATACAACAACGATAGTTTAATGTTTGATAGAAGTGTAGATTTTAATGGATTTTAATGATCAGATTAAAGTTTTGTCTCATCTTCGTTTCTTGTCTTTGTTACAATGTGTACACTTGTATGAAATAAAAGGTCAATATCTACGTGTAGCTGTAATAAATCAGCAAACTGGCCATGTTCTTATAAAATCAAAACAAACATGAGTGTAAACTGGTTTCACATACAGTTTTTTCTGGGCAAATCGGCATATTTAACATACCTTTGGCCAAAATAACAAATACAATTGACGAATATGGCAAAGATATAAAACATCATACATAGTTTACAAGATAAACAAATAAACTTATAAGCAAACTTATACATTTACAAGGTTGAAGAAGCAGCTTCCGTTTCTAGACATATCTTCCTTAACTGGAAAGCCTCATATATGCATTTTGCAGTTGTATACAGCTTACATTTACTCCTTCATTATATAATATTAACACATTTCTATACATTAGGGCAAGAATAATTACCAAAAAATTCAGTTATCAGATCAACAAGGTAATGAAACATCACAGAACGGAGCCACTAGAAAGTCATGTCGCGCAGGGTACCCGTGAGGCCATCAAACATGACCCGAGCAAACAACTGGTGAGGGCAACAAACATGACCAAGGTAAACAACTGGTGAGGGCAACAAACATGACCAGGGCAATCAACTGGTGAGGGCAACAAACATGACCAGGGCAAACAACTAGTGAGGGCAACAAACATGACCAAGGTAAACAACTGGTGAGGGCAACAAACATGACCAGGGCAATCAACTGGTGAGGGCAACAAACATGACCAGGGCAAACAACTAGTGAGGGCAACAAACATGACCAAGGTAAACAACTGGTGAGGGCAACAAACATGACCAGGGCAATCAACTGGTGAGGGCAACAAACATGACCAGGGCAAACAACTAGTGAGGGCAACAAACATGACCAAGGTAAACAACTGGTGAGGGCAACAAACATGACCAGGGCAATCAACTGGTGAGGGCAACAAACATGACTAAGGTAAACAACTGGCTGGTGAGGGCAAAAACATGACCAGGGCAAACAACTGGTGAGGGCAACAAACATGACCAGGGCAATCAACTGGTGAGGGCAACAAACATGACCAGGGCAAACAACTAGTGAGGGCAACAAACATGACCAGGGCAATCAACTGGTGAGGGCAACAAGCATGACCAGGACAAACTTCGGTGAGGGCAACAAACATGAGGGCAACAAACATGACCAGGGCAAACAACTGGTGAGGGCAACAAACATGACCAGGGCAAACTTCGGTGAGGGCAACAAACATGAGGGCAACAAACATGACCAGGACAAACAACTGGTGAGGGCAACAAACATGACCAGGGCAAACAACTGGTGAGGGCAACAAACATGACCAGGGCAAACAACTGGTGAGGGCAGCAAACATGACTAAGGTAAACAACTGGCTGGTGAGGGAACAAACATGACCAGGGCAAACAACTGGTGAGGGCAACAAACATGACCAGGGTAAACAACTAGTGAGGGCAACAAACATGACCAGGGCAATCAACTGGTGAGGGCAACAAGCATGACCAGGGCAAACTTCGGTGAGGGCAACAAACATGAGGGCAACAAACATGACCAGGGCAAACAACTGGTGAAGGCAACAAACATGACCAGGGCAAACAACTGGTGAGGGCAACAAACATGACCAGGGCAAACAACTGGTGAGGGCAACAAACATGACTAAGGTAAACAACTGGCTGGTGAGGGCAAAAACATGACCAGGGCAAGCAACTGGTGAGGGCAACAAAGGAGGATAATACCAATTTATTAATTACAAACTATTTTGATGTAAAAGAAAACGTAAATAACAGTAAGACTGATGAAAACAACAGCTAGATTTAAAACTGAATAAGATATCATTAGGTATATAAATCATATATGAAATAATTTCGAATGTTGAAGAGGCGAGTCGTAAGACCCTTGGACATGACAGATAACGTACCTAACTGATCTGATTGTCTGTAATACATGTCAAACACTCATTTAAGGATTAGTAGGTCGACATAATTTTCGAAAATTAAATCAGTTTTATTTCAGAAAATAAGATTTGACACTAAACACTATTAAGATTTTTAGATAGAGTTACGTTTAAGATCATTTTAAACATCACGCTGATTATTCATATTCAGGTGACTGACAGAAAGTGCCGGTTTAATATTGTGAACAGTAATATAAACAGCACATATGTTTGTGAGTAACTGTAAAAAGATCATCCCGGAGAAGATGCTGATACCCAAGGCGTTAAAGAGGGATGATATTTTTGATGTTACGTACAAACCTATCTGTTATTGGATAAACACTCGTACTACATTTTTCTATCTATAAAGTATTTATTTTTCAGATTTTTATTCATCTATATGGTATACTTGAATTAACTCTTTAACGCCTTTAAAAGAAGGATAATAATAATAAATTATATGAAGAGTTATGATAATAAGTGATATGAAGTCATTATACATAATGGAGTACAATACTGAATTCTATTTGACATGTACACAGCTGTCAAATTATATCGGACGAGGTGCTACTCGAGTCCGATATAGGTTTTACAGCTGTGTACGAGTTTAATTGAATCAGTATATTATATGACCCCCTTCTTTCGAAACCACCGTAGTTTTTTTTTTTGTTTCTTCAATTACGATAAGGATATTATATGGACTTTGGGTTGTCAAAAATGTATAAGAGGCTAGATGGCGTGAGATATAGATTTGATGTGCAGATTTTTCATTCTCAAAATGAAAACGAAGCTAACTTGATAATATTGTATCTAATAATGATTTCTATTGGAATATCACGTGGTGCAGATGCTGAAAGTGCATTGGTTGTGAAAGAAAATAATTTATTCAATGCTTCTAAGTGTATAATTGACATATGAATAATCAAAGACCTACACGTGTTGTAGCGCCAATTAACGAACATGTTATGCAAATACAGAATCACTAAATAATTAGACAATTTTCTTACAACTCGTCCTGGATCAGAGGTTATAAGCTTTTTAAAAATCTCAACTCAATTCTCAGCTCCGTGTGAGTCCGATAGTAAATATAATTCAAAAGAAATGTAAAATGGAAGCGATCTTTCTTTAAGTTTTAATCAACACGCATCCTTTTTACATTACTTCAGACAGGGGTAAAAATTCTTAAGCATTGCATCAAATGACTCAAGGTAAATGTCATTACATGTATAGGTTACAAAAAGTGATCGACGTATGGCGCAAATACTTTTCTAACAACTGAATATAAACATTTAATATAATCAAAGCCATTTCATTTATCTTTTATCTGAAAAAGGATGCATTACCAAAGAAACGGTTTTGAAAGTAAATTGTCCTTTGTTGGATACGGAAGTATTGAGTACGATTTAAAGTGTACAAAGATAAGATATTGGAAAGGTCATCAGATCCCTCCATACTGTTGAGGATAATTGTTGTCGGCATCCATTTTTGCGCATTAAATTAAAGTAAATGAATCTCATTTAAATCATAAAATCATGAGCGCCAGTCTACAAACATTGTTATGCGCATGCTCCGCCTTAAAATACGAAATAAAATTCCTTTAGATTGCATTTATACAGGTTACTTGGTTCAAAAGTTGAGCTTTTTTCGTTAGCTGGAAAAGGTATTCTCTCAGTTTATGTTTTATGCTGTTAATAAGTTCTAAAGAATTGTTTATAAAAAGTAAGTGTATCAATATTGTATACCATTAATAGTACAAATACCGGTATATTTACATTATGCAAGTACAATATATATGTTGCAGTAACTTGCAAAGTAAGGCTATTGAGTAAACATGTACATTTATGTAGTTTTATACTTATGTTTGTATTGCACAACAGTCTGAATACCTAAATCAGATACCTAAATCAGTTGTGCGCCATTTCGAACAATTTTACGACATGGAAGTACTTTAAATATTCAACATTCAAGTCGTCGTGCACTGCTTTCCGGAAGTGGGTCGCACGCCAGTATACTTTTGTACACCACGCTTAGCTGCATGCATACACAAAAAAGTTAATAAGCTTGGATTTATCTATTTCTTGGAATTCTTTGACTTTATTAGAGTTGAAGAGATGTTGTTGTTGTTGAATTGAGCTGTTTAAGTGTTTAATTTGCTTTAAGACTGTTTCTAGATTGCTTTAAGACTGTTTCTAGAATGTAATTATTATGTTTAATTTTCAATTTAATATATTTTATTACCATGCCTTCACTTGGATATCTTATTTATTATAATACAAGTATAAGTTTTAAACGGCATTTTCAGCGAAAACGTAATTAAATAGATGTCTGTAAAACAAGAACAAAAACAACAAACAAACAACAACAACTAAATACAAGAAGTACATTTAAAAATAATAATTGACCTAACTTGCACATGTTAGTTCTTAGTTTTTTATGCATTCATAGAAAAATGTTAACATGGCTTGCATAACAATTAAATAATGATTTCGTGTAGGGTTGTTCATCTTAAAAATTGTAACACTTTCAGACGTGCTTTTAAACGAACCTTATATTCAGTTCTTCCCTGTAAATTCTTCAGGAAGTCAAACTGAAAACAAGAATTTGTAACAGAATTACCAATGTCCCCCGCCTCGGGGAGTTTTATATGGAGCATAAAATTGTGCTATTTCAAAAGATTGAGGTATGGCTCTCAGGACATTCAGTCCAAAATTATGATCAATGCTAGATCTGCAAATGCAAAAATAAATTTGTTAAAAAAATAAAATGAAACACGGAATTTAAAAATCTATCATGTTAAGCTTCGACCTCTACGTATGACCTAGACCTTGGAGGTAGGAGAGCAGGTGTTGTGCATGACATGACGTCTGATTATTGGAATATTTGTGCCAAGTATTTTCAAATCCCTTGAACTATGAAGAAGTTATAGATTGGACACAAAATATACCCTTTAACAGACTATGTAAATCTTTGACCTCTAAGTGTGACCTTGACCTTGGAGGTAGGGAAAAAGATGTAACGCATGACAT